TATATTCTTTTTAAGTATTCTGCTTCTTCATTTTAGCTCATTTTAGCCGGAAAAGGGCAGGACTACGTCTACCTCCAGAAGAGCTGAAGAGAGCCTCTCCATGGCCTCTCAGGATGCCCCAGAAACTGCAACCTCACACCCACAATCTCAGCCTAATGATGTGAGTATTTCTACTTTAAACATCATATCATAATGGTCCTGGACATATTAAAATATCACTTGTTTGCTGCCACTCATATTAAATTCACTCACAAATAAACCCATGCACACACAATTGAAGACATGTTGAACATGCATTCCTGGTGCGCGCACACACACACACACACACACACACACACACACACACACACACACACACACGGTGCTGGCAGTGGCTTTGACAGGTGATGACTATAAGAAAGAATGTGGGCCATACACTAGTGGTGTCGTGAAACGTCACTCAAACCATGTTCATCCCTCTTTCTTCTAGGATCATGGCTATGCCTTGCCTACTTCTCCCACCTCCCTTAAGACCAGACTCAATGAAGCCCTAGCAAGAGTGGAAAGTCTGGAGCGAGAGAAGAAGAATGCCATGGCCAGAGAAAAGAGGGCAAAGACCACAGTGAAGAGTCTTTTGGGGGATTTGAGGGAAAAGAACCTCATTAATGAAAAGCTCTCTCTCTCTATCTATATGAATTATATTGATACTCTCTCAGAGGGATCTTTGGAAGCAGCAGTGGGAGTCCATCAGCCCAAGCTTGTGTGTTTAGGAGACCCCAGTACAACAGCTCAGTACATTGTCATGGCAAAGAATGACAAAGGCGCCATTCCACTTCAAGATGAGGGTTTGACATGTGCCGTAGACAAGTTGTTCAAAATTTTATGGGTTTGCAATGTGGCATATCCTGTCCAACTCGAATTAGTCTATTGTTTCTTTGAGCATGTTTATGACATGCCCATCTCAGGTGGGAAGAGATCAAATGTTGTGATGCTTATTACCAAGCTTCAGGCAGTGGCGTAAGTTGTGCTAGTGTCACCATTTGTTCAAGATTCTTTATCCAGACAGGCCGATGGCAAGAAAACTAAAAGTCGCCAAAATCTGTCACGCCCAAGCGGCCACGCCCCTTGACATAGAGAAAAGCTTTTAATAACTTTTGATCAGCATGTTCTCAGGATGATCTGTACCAACGTTGAAGTCGATCAGGCGAAATCCCTAGGAGGAGTTCGTTCAAATTTAAGTTGTGGAAATCGCGGTAACAAAAAAATTCAAAACAAAATGGCCGACTTCCTGTTGGGATTTTACCATGACGTCAAGAGACTTTTTTGTGCGTCTCAGTATGATGCAAATTACCAAATTTCATTTGCCTACGACAAACTAACTCCAATGGGGAGGGGTTTTTGAAAATTTGTAGGGGGCGCTATTTCGGCATTTCGTGTCGACCATGTGCAACCGCCCATAAATATTGAATTTCGGATATGGCCGGATGAATGTGGAAAGTTAGAAGCATTTTGAAATTTGGGAAAGGGGCAAAATTGGGGCACGAAGTCGGGTGAACAATAATAATAATAATAATAATAATAATAATAACAATAATAATAATAATAAACAGCACGATTTCAATAGGGTCCTCGGACGACTTCGTCGTCGCTCGGGCCCTGAATATTTTGATGATCATCTGTTTTCATATGTGGTGGAGCGGACTGATGAGTATGAAATGAATGTAAAAGATGTAGCAGACATCAGACCACTGGACTTGCTGTCATCTTTCGGTGGAAATGAATTACATGTAAATCCAAGATACAAATTGATTGTTTAAATTTGCATTACTGTAAAGTGCTTTACCTTTGACATACCTGAGCCAGTCACTTACTCGTAACAATTAGTAGAGGATAATGAATGGTGCCCCCTGTCCAGATTTTTGGTTTGTTTGGTAATCTTGGGAGGGAAAATTCATGTGACCTTGCCTTTTGACTACAGTTTGCATAATTTTTTTGTGAATATTGTATAATTGTATCTGCATGTTTTTATATGCATGTATTGTGATCTCATTCACTGGCATTGAGAATGAAATGGAGTGTTGTAATTATTTCAAAAATCTGCAATGATTGAAGTATTTTAATAAATGTTACCTGAATTTAATGCAATTGTTCATTTTGTGAGCATTTTAGTGGATTGTAAGCATACAAATTCCATTTTAGGATGATTTTAGCAAAAAAAAGTATAAACAACATCTCTGTGTTGTTTTTAACACAACTTTGTGTTGAAATGTTTATGCGTTAAATGTGCTAACACACTGATTGTGTTGAAAGCAACACAAGATGTGTTGTCCTTTAGACACACTGGTCTGTTAAAAATTAACACATGATGTGTTACATCTGTTTTGAGAATGTATATATGAATTATATTGATACTATCTCTATATATGAATTATATGAATATGAATATTGATACTCTGTCTATATATATGAATTATATTGATACTCTGTCTCTCTCTATATATATATACAGTACAGGCCAAAAGTTTGGACACACCTTCTCATTCAATGCGTTTTCTTTATTTTCATGACTATTTACATTGTAGATTCTCACTGAAGGCATCAAAACTATGAATGAACACATGTGGAGTTATGTACTTAACAAAAAAAGGTGAAATAACTGAAAACATGTTTTATATTCTAGTTTCTTCAAAATAGCCACCCTTTGCTCTGATTACTGCTTTGCACACTCTTGGCATTCTCTCCATGAGCTTCAAGAGGTAGTCACCTGAAATGGTTT